AAGGAAGACAAGATATCAGATAATGATAGTAATAAACGTTACTGTAGATAATGAGTGATGATCCAGATTAGGTCTACAGGTAAGATTAAGATGACTTAGAGATTTTTTTCTTTTCTTTTCTTTCTTTTTTCCATGCTTATTCTTTTCTTTTTCTTTTCCTTTCCTATTTTGTCTTTCTCTCTCTCTCGTTTTCTTTTTCTTTTCCTTTTCTATTTTGTCTTTCTCTCTCTCTCGTTTTCATTTCTTGTCTTTTTTCTTACCCACCTTTTCTTTTCCTTTTTTTTTTTTTTTTTTTTTCATTTTCTATTTTTTTTTCTCCTTTCCTTTCCTTTAATTTGAGTAGATATTTTTTGGCGGGGAACATGGTCTTATTTTCATTTGTGATTTATACCATCCTTATAACATATAGATTTAGCACGAGAACCACCAAAAGCCACTTCCAGATTGTTGTTGGTGGTTTTGTTAATATCATCAGTAACTGTCATTGATTATGATCATTAACCTCCAGGTACATCCTTTTGGAAGGTCTTTTAAACATCACACAATAAATGACAAAAGTATGACTCTAGTAGTTGTGGTAAAAGTGGTAGTAGTAGTGGTGATGGTAGTCATAATTGTAGTAGTAATAGTAGTTCTAGTAGTAGTAGTTGCAGTAGTGGTAGTTGTGGAAGTGGTAGTAGTGATAATAATAGTAGTTTTTTTCTTAGTAGTAGTAGTAGTAGTAGTAATGGTAGTGATAGTAGTAATGATAGTAGTTGTAGGAATGGTAGTATTAGTAATAGTAGTAGTTGTAGGGTGGTGGGGGTATTAGTTGTGGTGGTAGAAGTAGTAGTAGTAGGCTGGTGGTGGTATTAGTAGTAGTAGTGGTAGTAGAAGTAGTAGTAGTAGTAGAAGACAACAGCCTCATCACCTCCAGCTTTACAAAACCTCAGCTCACAGTAGGGCATCCATTTCAGGGTTGTGTGAGGTGGTGGTACAGAATGAGCCAGCGGCAGCACCAGTGGCAGAGTTCCCCTGTCTTGCTGACTCGGACTCTCCCCCCCCACACATTCAGGATGAGCCACCACCCCACTCCCTTGAGATCGCATCAGGTAAGTTTGTTTGATGTTTGTGTGTGTGTGAAATGGTTGTGAATACAAGTATAAGTAATGGAAGGCAAACAATGATTTTTTTCTTTCTTTCTTTTTCTTTTTTAATGCAATCAAACGGTAGAGTCTCAATTAACACTAATAAAATTTCAAATCCTCAATACAGTCTCTCAGCATTCAGTCATAATTTCCACAAACACCTCACTCGCATTCACACACTTACGATAAAAAACACCTTGATTATTACCCCCTTAGACATGGACTTTGTGGGCCATCGTCAGCGATCGTACACAGACCAGCGGCTGGAGATCATGCGCAAGGAGAAGAAAAACGCTTCCAAGATCAAGAGGATTACATGGAAGCACAACCCAGCACAGATTAACGGTGGGTTTTCTTCCCTTCAGCATGGGGAGATTATTGTTCTTTTTTTATTATTGCTGTTGATATTGTTAATCGCGTTTTTATTTCTTCTGTCATGGTTTTTTCCCGTTATTATTTTATAAATCTTATGCTTATCTGTCCAGCCTTTCTCTTCTCCTGCCACTTGCGTCTTCCCTTCCCTCCTCCCTTTATTTATCCGCTCTCTCCTCACAGAGAACGAGCTGAACGAGCTCTTCTCCCGCAAGGCTGTGATAAGCAACGTAGACCAAACCGACATCTCCCGGCCCCATCAGCCCCCCCCAATCTCCCTCCTCACACGTCTGGTTCAGCAGTACCCTGAGGGCATCAAGAACCCCTTCATCGAGTACGCCAAGTACGATGGCACGGTGAGTCCTCCGAGGGATGGCAAAGAGGATTGTTTGGGGTGAAGGGTTTAGGGTGTTTGCAGATATTTTTTTTCTGGCATTTGAGCATCATATGATTGCTTGGGAAATTGGAGAGAGTAAGATCAGGGCTAGATTCTGGGGAAAATTCCAGGTGAGGTGGGCTGGGAGGGGGGGGGGGAGGATGAACGTGTAGTCACTGGCAAAAAATTAGAAAAGTAAATAGATGAATTATTCACAACTTGAATCAGTGGAACAAGTCTCTAGGGATGACACCCCCTCCCCCTACCTGGGAAATCTAAGTATGGGTATGATGCTCTGGAATGTTAGATAAAGTAAGTATAAGTAATGGTTGATTATTATAACATGGAAATGTACAATTGAGAGGTCTCTTAAAACTGTTTAACATTTATATATACTCCTTTTAGAAGACTGATTACTCCATCTCTTCTCATCCATCCAGTGAACATTATGCAGAACAAAATCCCATTTGCTTTTCATTTCTGTTCTTATCCCCAAACAGACTCACACTAACGTACAGGCACGGCGTATCAGTGTCTACCTGCTCCTGGGGGACAACATTGCACCCAGCTACCCAATGGTTGTGTCAGTTGTCAACTGCCACCAGGCGCGAGTCTCGGATCTCATCGGCCTCATCTGCTGGCTCTATACCAAAGAAAACAGGGAGCCTCCCTTAAGGTTAGGACAGATTCAGGCGGCTTGTGGGAGGTTGTGCCGGTGCTTTACCTCCATTTTGCTAAATTGCCGTGAACCAGATTCTCTTTGTAAAATCATTGGAGTGAAGTATTTGCATGATTCTTCATATTTCTATGTTTCTTCAAATTTTTGTTTTGAAAAATGTTGTCTCAAGATATGTCAAATATGTATAATCAAATGTATCTTTTATGAATGCTGAAATATATTCTGCTCTTCTGGGTGATGATTGTATATTCGTTTTTTTTTTTTTTTTTTTTTTTTTTTTTTTTTTTTTTTTTTTTATAAATTATGTCTTGATCTAAAAAAAATTGTTTGACAGTTCTTACGATTGAAAGAAAATAACACACTCCAAACATTGTAATTTATTGCTGACACTCAGCACAGCCTCAGTACCCCAACAAAACAGTTTCTAAAATTGCCCTCCCCCCCCCATGAAAGCTATGCTAACCCCCCACAACACAAAATTTTCTGTTTGCTTCTTTTACATAATAGAGACAGTCTAGCAACCCAACTCTTGTACAGTCTTTCATCCCTAGATTTTATCCACATTGCAGAGGTTCAGTGGAGAACTATGCACTCCACATTGCAGAGGAGGATGGCCAGGTGGACTGGGACTTCCAGGCCCTTAACAACAGAGATGTCATTGAAAAGTTTGGTTTCAATATCCTGGCTCTAGTCGAGAAGAAGAATGTCCCGGAGGCATCCAAGGACATTGTAGTCACTCTGTGAGTTTGAGAGTTTAAAACGCTTTTGTCTGTTTCTCTCTCTCTCTCTCTCTCTCTCTCTCTCTCTCTCTCTCTCTCTCTCTCTCTCTCTCTCTCTCTGCCATAAGTGTTCTTGAGTTTATTTGGAAGTAATCTGAAATTTAGGATGAAGTGCTATGATATATCTGTATATGCAGGTGATTTACCTGCAGAGGCTTGAAATTTATATTTACCAGTAAAGACTGTGGGACTTGCCTTTAGTTGCTATCAAATTTGCTTTTAAGTTAATACACATGTTTGCTAATTGATAGTCTACAGTATAAATGCCTTGTGTGAGTAAATATATAGATAATGGTTTAACCAGGAAACTGGTTATGTTAATCAGTTAAACAGTCAGAGAGTGTGGACATTTGCAAGACTCATTATAGCATGGTCAGTTAGGTATCAGTAAGTTTTGTTTCCTGTAAGATCTGTTATATCGATTGTATGAAATTGTTTAATTGTGTCTGCACACCATAGTACATAGATATTTGAGAAATTCAAATGGAACCACCACACTAAAAAGCAATATCTTTTTGCATTTGTTTTTTATATCACCAGTGTGCATCATTATCATTTTACTAATATGTTTTGTTTTGTTTTTTTCACATTCTTTTACAGAAATGTAGCTGGTGGTGCATTTAGCAAAATAACTGTAGAAAATTTGGATATCACTCTCAAAGAAATTCTCAGTAGAACCATCACAAAGCGCAAGGACATGGGAAGGATAATAGGTAAGCCTTGTATCATGTGGAAAAGGACATTCTGTGACTTCCTGGCTCTAGTAACACAATCCACTGTTTGTTATATGAAAGGCTCACATTGGATGCACATATCCGGGAGAAGATATATTAAGCTGCGAGATTGGTATCCACTTTCTTCGCTTATACGTTTTCTGTCTTGGCTCGGCAGATGCTGGGCTCGACTACCACTTGGAGAGAGAGAATGAGCCGGGTATGGCACTGGACCCTGAGAAAACGCTGGCTGACGTTAATTGCACGGAATTCGCAGTAGTGAGAGATAACAGTAAGTAGCCTTTCTTTTGATGTTGTCTCAAAGTAGGTTTAACGGTTTTCATATATATATATATATATATATATATATATATATATATATATATATATATATATATATATATATATATATATTGTTATATGTATGTTTTTTTTTTTTTTTTTTTTTTTTTTTTTTTTTTTTTGGAAATGGCTATTTTGATAAGAAGGAAAGTATTGGAGAATTGTTACTGTACCTTTTTTTCTTCCTTGCATAGGTAAGAGGATTGACTTGCCGTTAGATCCGAGCAACATGTCAACAGTCGAAGCTACCTTGTATCGTTCCTACAAAGTCACATGGCTGCTGAAGTTGGGAAAATGTGAAGCATGTCTCGGTACGTGCTTCCTTTTGTATTTGTCCTAGAATCTATGACACTCAGTTTCATCTTCAAGCTTTATCATTACTGCAGTTAGTCCTTATATCTAAATGCATATCTGGTAATCCACAAACTGATGGGAAATGAAAAGTATATATTGTTGAATACCTAAATTCCTATCATATGTAACAACAGATAGGAATAGGGAATGCTCTTCCCATCCTCTCTCACCCTTTTGGGAAGTGAACTGCATCAGTGTCTCCTCAGCCATCTCATTTGTAACAATGAGATTTTATCTGCATATAAATTTACTGTAATTAAAATATGTACTGACTTTCATTTATTTTCAGATAATGTATTTGGATACTTTTTGTGACAAATATTTATGATTTAGTTAGGCCAATTTTAACCCATTCGCCGCGGATGGCAAGAATAGATGCCATACCCACTTTGATACACGTTTATTTATTGTATTTACACATAGATGGCTCTACAAGTTCTTAATCACCAAATAGCCAGTTATCAAGAACTACCTATTTCACCTGTTTTGCCTTTTCCTTCACTTTCGGAAAGGGTTTTTTGTATCATCTTATTGTCAAAAATATTCTAATGACAATTCAATCATCATAACATCAGTAACAATAATAACAGCATCGAAAGCAATTATATTAATTTTCCCGCCAATTCAATGAATGGGAAAATCAGGGTCGGTAACTAGGGCCTACTGATAGACTCCTTGCCGGCTGAGTACATGTGGAGCCATCTGTAGGTAGCAAAATTCACCAAAACCAACAGGGGACAGAACATAAATCCGTGGCCAATGGGTTAATAATGAACCATATTCATTGTGACAAATCCAGAAAAAGTATGAATGAATATGAATATTTTCACAGTACTCGAGATGTGTTTAACCAGTTTCAAACATATCTTTGTCAGAAACACATTATGAATTGCTGACAAAGATATATTTGAATCCAGGTAAATCCATCTCTTGTATTGTTAAGATATTCACGTTCATTCATACCTTTTCCCAAAGAGTTTTATCGTCATATTGTTTGTTAGTACCAATGACAGGAATATTTAACCCAATGGTGACGGGTGAAGAAAATGGGAAAAAAAAAACTCTACGCTCTGGCAAACAATGGCAGCGCACCAGCTTTGAGCGTGTGAGTTTGGTACATCAGCCCGAATCACTGGCTCGCCGCCGCCGTGTACAGCCGCACGCCAGCTTTCGAGCGGTTTGTTTTCACGCCTATCGGCGTCACCCGCCAGGAAGGGGTTAATGAATATAGTAACTTCTATTTCTTCTTCATCTCCTCTCCTAATTTTCCATGAGACACAGTGACATGTTCTTTTTGGATGGTTTCAGGCATATCAGGAGACAAGTTTGAAATTCATCCCCTGCAACAGAAGATGGGCGGAGCTTTCCTGCCCTTGCGCACCCCCCATGCTGTCACCTACAACATGGAGCTGGTTGTCGACTGCAGCCGGAAAGCAGAGAAGAAAGGCAAGTCACGTGCTTGTAGGGGAGCTGCAGTCATTTGTCATCTCTTAAGTAGTATTTGATTGACCTTTACCGATGTCACGTGAGCATCCTTAGAGATTGTCATAGCTTTTTTTAGTTTGTAACTTGGGAGATGACAGAGAACTGAATGTTATGCTCTGAAGACAAGAACTCCAGATTGCCTGTCGGAGTTAAAAAAAGATAACTGAGAAACTTCTCTCTGCAGAGGATTATTATTATTATTATTATTGTTATTACTATTCATTTTACTGTTATTGTGATTTTTATATATTTATTATTATATTATCATTGTTGTGGTTACTTTTTTATCATTATCAGGAAAATTATCATTGGTATTTTCATTATTAATATAATTATTATTATTGTTGTTGTTATTGTTAGTAGTAGAAGTAGTAGTATTGGTATTATTATTATTATTATTATCATTATCATTATTTTCATGATCATCATCATCATCACCAGCAACATTATTAGTACCATTATTATTACAGCAATGATTGCAATTATTACTGTGATGGTTATTATTATTATTATTTTTATGTTGTTCTGTTACAGGCAAGATGGAAATCCAGGTAACTTGTCAAGGTGAGAACCGCTTCAAGGACTACCTGTTTGAATGCGAAGCCAAAATCGGGCAGGAAATTCTAGACAAGTGCAAACACATTTTTGACCTTCGAACAAGCACAGCACGCAAGGAGTTCTGGCGGGAGAAGAAACCTTTTCGCAGACACAATAGTTTGTCAATGCGCCACAGGCCTAGGACAGCAAATCATGCAAATGAAGTGTAGCCATTTCCCTTTATTTCTATTTTCACTGGTTTGTGCTGTCGTAGTGCTCATGTATGTGCATGTGTGCGCAAAGACAAGGACTCAAGTGATAAGGTGTGATATTGTTGACTTCTAGGATGTTGCTGTTAGTTGTCTGGAGGTGTGAACGTCTGAAGGACAAATGGACTGTGTCAAGAAGTGTATAGAAATATGGTACACATTTGATTCAGGAATGATACCCCTTCCTGCAGTGTTAAAGATAGTGGCTTGCATCTTCTAGGAAGATGAAAGATGCTCTTGTTTACATGGAATGTAAGTATTGTTATACCTGTTTGCCATTCTAATGCGTAATTATACTTTATGCAGGGTATGATAATGCACGCAGGAGCAATGTTGAATTTCCAACAAACTGGGACAGACTAGTTGTGTGATGTAACAGAACAGATCTGTTTCTTGAATGTAGAGCTGTTGCAGACATGAAGCATTGTTGATTGTTCCTCTTTTTTATTATGATATTGATGTAATTGATGAAAATCATTACAGTGGTTTGACTTGGATTTCTCAAAAGCCTGCATGCGCTAATAAGTGTTGGTAAAAGGATGGCTTGGAAAGCAGTGGGTAATTTTTGTATGAAGTCAGTAGTAAAGAAAAGAGTTAGAGTTTGCAAACATAAGACATAATGTGAAGCAAAAAAGATATTTTGGAAATGTTGTACACTTGAAAACCCCCTCTAAAAAAATCACTATTACCATAAGAATTTTGCATAAATGGAAGAAATTGCTGGAGAATATGGAAGAGTAGAAATATCCTGTGAATGGTTGTGCAGTATAAAAGGTTTGTGATTTTGGAATGTAATTTTGACCTTAATGAAAGCAGAGTAGAACAAATAACGTGTATATAGGTTTGAATGGCTATACCAGTCCTATATATAATTGATTGACTTACTGTAATTCAATTTTTTCTCTTTTCTTTGTAATCAAGTTGACTGTTAGTTCTCTTAAAAGATTTTCTGTACATAAGTGTGAGAAATAGTGGTCATTAGATGCTTTAATATTGATTTTAAAAACTATATAAGTAACTTGTCTGCCTACCATGAAGGTCACAGTGGAAGTTGATGGTGATTGTAGGATTTGTGTATTTCTTTGAAAGATCAGAGAATGCATGAGCAAATAGCCTTGTTTATGATACTTAAGATGCATTAAGACTAATGCCCTTCCAAAATTTAAGATAAGGCTAAGCAATATCTATATATACTGTGAGTATATATATCATCATTTTCATTTTGTGAAAATCTGTTCATCATGTTGTTTAGAATTTAAACTAATTCTTCCAAATCACTGATTAAGGTTGTACTGTAAGGTATCAGTCTAGGACTTGACACTGTAAATAACGGTGCCAAGCGTTGTAATTTTTTCTCCAGTTTAAAATCAACGTAGCTAACTAATCTGCAGTTCTGTCCGAGGCCAGTATCCATAGATGTAAAAGGAATGATGATGAGAGCTGATACCATCTTAGCTTCCCAAGAATTTTATTTTTGTGTGTATTTGGCCAAGTTTGCTCTCTCTCTCGCTCTCGCTCTCTTTCTCTCTCTCTCTCACTCTCTTGCTCTCACACACTCTCTCTCGCTCTCACACTCTCTCTCACGC